GACCAGATGGCCCTTACAGTTGTTGTAGGGTCTCGTTCAGGATCCTCAGTCAGGGGTGGGCAGCGCTCGGATCAGCGCCGTCAGGNCTTGCATCACTTCCAGTTGCGGCTTTGACTCTTTCGGCTGACCAGATGGCCTTTGCAGCTGTTGCAGGGTCTCGTTCAGGATCCTCAGTCAGGGGTGAGCAGCGCTCGAATCAGCGCCGTCAGGGTGCCTCAGATCAGCGTAAACAAGGGGATTCTCGTCAGGGTGCCTCAGATCAGCGCAGACAGGGGGATTCCCGTCACTGTGATTATTGTGGCCGATCAGGACATCTCAGGACTACTTGCTGAAAGCTCCATCCAAAGGTTAAGCTGCCTCCTCGCAGCCGTACTGTTGCTATTGCTGAGGTACCACCACCCACCACCACTACTCTTGCTGCTGCTGCTCCACCTTGACAGAGTGATATGGATGCTATCACTTCCCGATTAGATATACTTATGTCTGCTTTGACTTCTCAAAGTCTGACTACTGCTGCTGTCACCACTACAGGTATACCTCGTACCTTTCACGCTTGTGCCAGTTCATCTCCCCTTTGGATGTTGGACTCGGGTGCAAATGGTCACATGACAGGTGAGGCCCATCACTTCACCACTTTTGACGAGCAGTTACATACACAGGTTCAGTTAACAGATGGGACACATGCCCCTATTGTTAGTAGGGGTACAATCCGTCTCCCAGATGGCCTTACATTACGTTCGGTTTTTCATGTTCCAAAGTTGGCCATGAATCTATTATCTGTACATCAGTTAGCTAGAGATTTTCACTGTGCGGTTGTATTCTTATCTGATTCGTGTTATTTGCAGGACCTGAGTACTAGGAGGATTATTATCAGGGGGCATGAGAAAGATGGACTGTATTATCTTGGCAATCCACCTCCAGTTTCACCAATTCCTCCACCTACATCATCTGCACCTGCTTTGTCTTTTTCTGTTCCTAGCTTGCATGCTAGTATTTTACCTAGTAGTTGTCGTTATGATTTTTCGCCACAAACTGTTCAATTGTGGCATGACCGTTTTGGACATACAAATTTTAAATATTTATGTATGTTGTTTCCTGCTTTGAGTAATGCTTGTGTTGGTGGTAAACTTGATTGCGTTATCTGTTCCCTATCAAAACATGTTAGGGCCAATTATATTCCTCGCATGCNTTATGTTGTTTCCTGCTTTGAACAATGCTTGTGTTGGTGGTAAACTTGACTGTGTTATATGTTCCCTATCGAAACATGTTAGGGCCAGTTATATTCCTCGCATGCACCAGTCACCTAAGCTATTTGACCTAATACACTCTGATATTTGGGGACCCTCTCCCGTTACTGCTTTGTTAGATGCCCGATATTATGTGACATTTATAGATGACCATACCCGTTGTACTTGGGTCTACCTTTTGCATAGGAAGNCCTCGCATGCACCAGTCACCTAAGCTATTTGACCTAATACACTCTGATATTTGGGGACCCTCTCCCGTTACTGCTTTGTTAGATGCCCGATATTATGTGACATTTATAGATGACCATACCCGTTGTACTTGGGTCTATCTTTTGCATAGAAAGTCTGATGTACTTCCTATAATTACTCAATTTTTACAAATGATTAAGACACAATTCGATGTCATTGTTTGTGCTTTTCGTTCAGATAATGCCAAAGAATATGTGTCTGATGCCTTAGTGTCTCACCTTTCTTCTTAGGGTATTCTTCACCAACTCACTTGTCCATATACTCCTGAGCAAAATGGTGCTACTGAATGGAAAAATAGGAGTTTGATAGGGATGGTGCGTTGTATGCTTAGAGGCATGAGGGTACTAAAATCTTATTGGCATTTTACTGTTTTGACTTCTACCTTTTTATGCAATCGTACGCCGAGTCGTGTTCTTCAGCATAAGGCTCCCTTACAGGTCTTATTTCCTGAGCGGACACTTTTTCCGGTTCCCCCTCGTGTTTTTGGATACACGTGTTTTGTTCAGGATCGGTCTTCTACTCGTCATAAACTTGATGATAAAGTGATTCGTTGTATCTTTGTGGGCTATTGTCATCAATCTAAGGGGTATCGATGTTATGATCCTATTAGGCGTCGTATGTATCACAGTCTAGATGTTACCTTTTTTGAGCATATTCCTTATTTTTCTCCCAGTCCTTTGTCTGCCCCTCCAGTTGATGATACTCCCTTTGATTTTCCATTACCACAAGAGTCAGAGTCATTGATCACTATCCCTACAGGGTCATCCGTTTTTCCTCCAAAGGAGTCACTCATCCCTGTCAGTACAGAGTTACCAGTCTCTCTTCCTTTGCAGGTGTATGTTCGTCACCCTCACTCTCATCACCCTGCTGATGTCCCCTCTACCTCAGGCAATGCAGGTAATAGTTCTCAGTTTGTTGAGCATATTGATGCACCTGTTGTTAGTACTGATGAGATTGCAGGTGCTGAGCCAGTTACTTTACCTGATAAGATATTATCAGTAGAGGATGGTGATTTAGGGCGTCGTTATCCAAGGCGTGATCGCCGTCCAGTTGATCGATATGGTTGGACCGCCNCTGAGCCAATTCATTTACCTGATGAGACATTATCAGTGGAAGAGTATGATTTAGGGCGTCGTTATCCGCGGCGTGATCGCCGTCTAGTTGATCGTTATGGTGGGACCGTCAGGATTTTATATCCGATCTCTGCTTATGTTTCTTATGGTGATCTGTCTCCCACATTTCGAGCTTATACTATGGCCTTATCAGATACGCTGGTTCCTCGCTCTATTTCGGAAGCTATGCGGGAGCCC